GTGGGAAATTTATTTCTTGGTTCCATTGTGGAGAGATATTTTGATGTCTACCTCCTGGCTTTATCCTCTTTTCTCCCCCTGCCCCCCGCCACTATTTTTGAAAGCAACCTTTTACTTTCGGCTTGCCTAGCAGCATCTGATTCTTGGCCTTTCCCACTGAATTGGGACTTTGGTTTTACCCTGTCAGCAGGTAAATGGCCTTAAACCCTTCATGATTTTGTCAGGGTAAAGTGGAGCTGAAAAGCATTACATATGTTCCAAGTTGAGAGGCAGCTCTTTTGCCATGTTCAAGTGGGTCTTTACCATCCCCCACTTCTCCTTCTATTAAAGGGCTCAGTCACAATAAAGCTTTAATCAGCTTCATTGATTTAAAGCTAATTTGCACTTGGCTTCAAGGCTAAGGTCTGTAGCACAAGCTGAAGACCTTTAAATCAGAAGCTGGAATGAAAAGCCTTAGGTATATCATATTGTCTGCTGTGCAAAAGAATAGCAGCTCCTGAAAACTGCAAATTAACTATAAGAAAAAAGCACAAAGCAGTGTTTTCTTGTGTGTTAATGTAACCTCAGCTTGCTGAGTTACACAAGCTTTCCTATCAACATTTCTGCTTCATCATGTAAATTAATAGAGTCAGCTGAATATGTTTTAGCTCTGTGATGTCTTAAGCACTCAGATTCTGGTTGGTTTCGGTTGGATTTAACCTAATTGCCAAACTGATTCCCATCAGTAATAACTTAACATTTATTTGTCCCAAAGGGGGAAAAAAAGTCTTGTCTGTATTATGCAATTAGGAAGGTGGTGAAATATTCAGTGTATGCCTCCACTCCAACTTAAATTCTTTTGTTAACTTTATCAGATAAACCATAAAATATTAACCAGCCTACTGTCTGAGCATGTGTAAGCTGTATGCTGCTTATCAGACACTTTAAGGTGCTTATGATTTTTAACATTGACTGCATGGAAGAGACTGCATTATCCTCCATTTTCAGAATCAGTGCTCATGATGAGGTTTGGTATACCAGAATGTGTGCTTCCAATTTCTTTAAAGCATGATTACAATACACAGGAAAGTGTCATTGCTACAAGCCTTTATTAACATTTAAACAAGTAGAACAGAAATAATCTCTTTCCTTAATTTGTCCTTTCACATTGTTTTCTGATCATGCTGAGCTATAGTTTACAGTGCTGCTTCCTGGAATTTTGTAGGTAGTTGCAAGTCTGGGACAGTCTAAGTTATATATGGATGTTGCATGCATCTAGTTTATGTAGAAGGAGATAGGTGCAAACTCCTCAACTAGATTAATGCATGACTATGTAAAGCCTTGTTTGGTAATAACCTTACATTTTGCATCTAGATGTCAACTTTTTGTAAGTTTGATGTATAATCAAAACTGTAAGGAGTGTATACTTTGCATTGTGGCTGCTTGCAGTTGCTGTATTTTGTTATATCCATTACGGAGATCATGATTTTCTGAAAGGTTCTGTCCTCTTCTGTGTGCATGGCTTTGAAACAATTTATGAGCTCACTGCAGTGATAGAATTCCAATGCATCCATTAAAAAAGTGATTCTACTTTCTTGTCAGGTCTGTGAAGTGGCCTGAACCATGATGATAAAGTCAAAGCAGTAACTTCTCTATAGAAATTCATACCTTAAAAAAAAAAAAAAACAAAAAACCCAAACTTGTACGTTTTGCAGTCAGAATTTGTGTGTTGTTATTGAGAAAATGACAAATAAGCTGCACTTAAAGGTTGATGGACATGGATGCACTTAGAAGAGAAAAAAACGGAACGTGTGGAACGCTGCGGGAGTGTTTCACACTGGCTGCTCACATATCTGCAGCAGGGAGGTGCAGCATTCCTCACCTGCCCTACACATTTATACACGTGGCTGCTGGAGCCACACAGAGGTCTCACCGGCTTTTCCTGACCTGGCACACCAAGCTCTGCATGTCAGCTTATACAACTCTAAGTGATCTTGCCCTGTCCCATCCTTTTCTTCTCTGTTCTCCTGCACTGGATTATGTGACACACATGGGCTGCAGCCAGGCAGAGTCTGCTTTTCATCAGGGCTGCCTGCAGAGTGCTGTTGGGAGGCTGGTGCTCCCTGGTACAGGCACTGGCTCTCCCTGGGAGCCCTGTGCCAGACACAGCTGCATCCACCTGATTCCAGAGCACAGCATTGTGCTGCCAGCCCAGAAGCTGGGGGAGATAAAACATTGAGGTGTGTGATGACACAATAGGAGCTTCATCTGTAAGGAGTGAAACCGGAGACGACTGCATATAGAATATGTGATGCTGTGGGTATTTAAAAAGCTTTACATTGCCAGAAATTTGAGACAAATATTGCATGGGGAATAACAGGGATCTGAGTGAGAAGCCTTTATTTCCAGGCAGTTGGTAATAGACACTCCATCCCAGATTACATTTGTTTAAGATATTAATACCTGCTAGATTTGGTGAGATATTATGGAGCTTTGTCTGAAAGTGAAGGGCATTTTATATGCCTTTCTTTTTGACAGCCTAGCACATATGACCTTTTGTCCTCACATTGATTAAGAAAATTTTTTATCATACAGAAATGACTGTTCTCACAAACTATGCATTGCTGAGTGAACAGTCTTATTGGATAGCCTTTTCATAATGAAAATTTTGCAGTGTGTGTGAGGGGAAGGATTTGAACTGTCAAAATGTCTCACAATGATATTTTCATACCTTAAATCTCCAGCTTTACTTACAGAAGCATTATCTCAGCAGAGGTTGAAAGAGAGTTAAAACAGGAAAACAAAAATAAAATTTTTTGTTATTGTGATTTTTCTTCAGGCTTTTGACTTTTTTTTTTAAATTTTGGCTTTTATCTGAAGTAAGCACCATTTGTTAATTATCAAATTTTCTAAAGTTAGAATTATGAAAATATATATACTGAAAATGTTTGGAGCTTATTTGTTTTCTTTTTTGAGCAAATTGGAAAGTTATGCAATACAACAAAAAATAATAATAAGGAATAAACTACAATGAGACAAGGCTGCCTCAGAAGAGTAAAACAGGCACCAAAATAGTCAAACACTTTGAATGGGCTTTGTGTAAGTATCCCAAGTATCTGTCTCCAAAGCCCTGATTCAGATATCTTGGTTAAGATACTTGTGGGTGTTTTTTTTTTTTTTTTTTTTTTTGGTCCTATTTTTTTGTAGTCTAGCTGATATTTGAGGGGAAGCTCTAAGCTCATTAAAAAAAAAAAAAAAAAAAAAAAAAGAAGAAGCTTCAGAGCCAGTTGCTCCATTTGCAATATAACTAATATGATATAGACTACCTAAGTGATATAGACTTACCAAACTTTGTCTTGATTATTGTAAGGCAACTACAGTGCAAACAGCAGTTTAAAATCCATTCAGTTCTCTAACATGGTCTACTGCCAATGTGTTACCAGAAAGCTCTTTCTGCTTTTGGACTTAATGCTGCAAACAAGTGAATATTTAATTAGCCTCGATGCCTCTTCTAGTGTATCCTCTGAGAGCAGGGTAACTCATATATGATAAGTGGCTGATGTTAAAGTCTATATTTGCTAGGCTTCTCTAGAAATCTGCTTTAAAATTACATTTGGTACAAAATCAGTGATTTACCTCTTTCATGAAATGCCCCAAACACTTCTCAAAACATCTAATACACTTTCTGATGTGTTATAAAAATAAGTGAGGAGGAGGAATAAGGAGTCTCAGAGATTTGTTTTTAGTTGGCTGATTTATTTAGGCTGGGGATACTGTTGATTCAGTTTGGTTCAAGAATGTGTATATATCCCTTCATGTGTGAGAACTTTGCCTCAGTGAAAGTATGTAAGGACATCACAACATAAAAGCTGAGAGAGAGGGGCAGACTAACAGACTTCTCAATTTGGTACTAAAGTTCTTAAAGTTTGTGATTTCAACTTTTGGTTATGTTTGGCTACCACTGCCTTTGAAGTTGTAGAGAAGACTACAGAACATGATACATTCCATGCTCTATGGAAGAAGGAGGCTAACATTGTTTAGAAAGATCTCTTTCAACTTGGGAATGTTTGTAACTTGTTGAGGTTTGTGATTGCAATGAACAGTACTCACATTTAAGACCAGGAGTATATATAGACCTGTGTCACATAGTGACTGTGGTATATATTTCCAGTGGGATGGAGGAGCTGCAACCAATAAAAGACTAATTTTATGACACACTTAGCCTCCTTTTCCTATATTTTTGGAGTAAACAATTATTTCCTTCATTTTGACATGTATCAAGGGCTAATAAGAAAATCAGGTACTTTAAGTCTATTGTCAATGCTTAATCTTAGCCTGAAGAATCTTGTCTTCTGCAGTGAATGATCAAACTGACAGGTCACATCAGGACACCTGAGTTAATCATTGAATCATAGGAGATATCTAGTTGGAAGGAATGCATAAGGATCTTTGAGTTCAACACCCTGCTCCTCACAGGACTAATCCTATGTTTAAGTGTAGCATCCAGATGTTCTTTGAACTCTGGCATGATGCCATGACCCATTTGCTGAGGGTCCTGTTCCAATGACTGATTACCTGTCAGTAAGGAATCTTCTCTTCCTTCTCCTAATGCCTGATCCAAACTTCCTCTGGTGTTTCATTCCAGTTCCTTGTGTCCAGTTGGTGGTCTCTAGTGAAAAACTGCTGTACTTTTGCTTAGCCTTTCTCCCTGGAGCCTAAATGATTGTGCCTCTCCTACCTTCCCGCACTGTAGCTGGACTGCAAGGAAAACCTCACACGAGCTGGGGGTGGTGTTGGTGTCTTCCAGCTTGTGGAAGACCTGTAAATGAAAGCATTGCAAGGATGAATCCCTTACTACAATACCATATGCAAGACCAGAGCTAAGGGAAAATTAGGAGACTGTACATAGTTGTACAAATGTTGAAATGGGTGCTGGGCTAGACTTACTTTGTTTTAAGCATTATTGGAGTGTGTGACTGAAGTACAAACTAATTATTGAATGTCACTCATTGTTCCTTTAGGACCACATCTAAGATCCAATGTGCATGGCAGTTTCTGGAGAATATTTTGTGGTGGCTTTCTGGATAAGTAAAAATGTCTCCTGTTGCTGGTGTGAAGAGTGGGTGAGCTACTACACTACTGATACTTTATTGCTCTTGCCATTTAGCCAGTTCATGATGACTAAAATGACGTGTATCTTAACTGAAGATAAAATAAGTCCTCCCACCATTAAGGACTTGAAAAAAGCCACCAAAATTATTGAGATAAATGCCCACTTGCTACAGTGTTTGTTGGCAAAGGTGTGAAATCCTTAGCTCTGCTTTGAAAACTTTTCCCTCTAACACAAAAATTTGCCTGTTAACAGACTGGTTTTGAATAAGTCATCCATTTTGCAAGGAGTGGATGTTTTTGGCACTGGTGTAGGATGTTGAGTTGAAGACCTGCACAACAGCATGGCATTCCTTGGCTCTGAGTGCAAGAGAACTTGCTCTGTATTAGTCAGACATAGGCAGCCCAGTGTACTTCATGCTTATTGATTCACCTTGTTGATAATTGCAGCATACTGCTAATAAATGAATCTGTGGAAAACTAATCCTCCTATATTGTAGCTTCATAGTTACACTCATTTAAGTTCAATTAAGTTCAAAGGGCACAGGAAGGCAGTTTATATTTTCTTGAAAGTTTATGTTCTTTACTATCTGCAAAAGGATGATAAACTTTCAGAAACTTCACCTATTTTGTAAGATTAACCTTTTTAATTTTCAGTATTTCATACCTACTTGGTTTTATATTTTATGTAAGAAAATTATACAGAAATAAGAGGGAGGGAAGGAAAATAACACAAGGCTTTATTGTATTACTTTCCCTTTTACAGAATCATATGATTCATGCAGAATGCTGTTAATCACAGTGTTCCTTTTCATTGCAAATCCCATATTAATGCATCCATGCTATTTGCTGCAATCACACTCTGAAGTTTTCTTTGGTTTCATAATTTACTAATTCACTTGGAAAAAACCTGCACATTTTTGTAAAGAACCAGGAGTCAGACTTTTTTAGGTATGCTCAAAGCTTACGTCCCAACCCCAAACCACAGCCTCCTGCACTGTCAGTTGTGCTGATACAACTATTTGTTGGGCCAAGGACTGTTAATCTGCTCAGTGAGCTGGTTTCGTTCTCCTCTGAAAGGGAGTGTTTATTTTTAACCCTGATCTGACTTGCAGTACATGTCTACAAATCATTTGTCAGCACAATGGGTGATCGCTAACCACAACTTCAAGGGGGCCTGAGACTTCCAGAGTGTGGAACACAGAGTGGTTGGATGTCTAAATAGTTTCAAAAGATTTGTACCTCAATGTCTGCCTTTGTGTTTTGAAAGAATCGGAATAGGTACAAAAGTTCTTGTTTACCAAGCCATGGTCTACTGAAAATAAGACCAGGAGGAAATAGTGACGCTAATGTTTACCTGGTTCATTTCTCCTTCAAAGGACTTAGCAAGCAAGGTTTCAATAATGATTTACAATATAGTGTTAATTAAATGCTATTTTGCTTGCATCCCAAAAAAGGAAAAAAAGAGAAAATAAGTTATTAGCACACTATTAGAAAGAATTCTGTAGGGTCTCTCCCATGTTGTTCTGATGTACTTGAACGGCAATATTCCATCAGACTCTGTTGCCTAACCATGAATGGTGATGTCCAAGGGTATCTGAGCCACCTGCATGGGTCTGTGAAGTACAGCACTGGGTGCGTGGGATGGCCATGCTGTCTGGAAGAGGGAGGTAGGACACTGGCACCTACAAACATCACTTTGACATCTGAAACAGCCCATGACACCTGCATGTAGGCACTTCAGTGTCTTGTGTAACTTGTGACGAGAATGAGGCAGACACCTGAGTCCCGTTAGGCACTCACAAGGCAAAGTGATTTCTGTCAGCTTTGTACTTCATTCCTACTATTGATTTGTATCAGAAGAAAGCTCAGTAAATGCTCAGATGAGCCACAGCTCCTTGGCCTGCATGTCAGGAACCCAAACAAACAGGCACTTCCTGCTTCATGGAGCTCATAGTAGAAAAAAAAGGCCAGAAGAGGAGCAAGTGGAAAAGACATAAAAGTGGCCAGACAGTGAGTGAACAAACCAGGGCAGAACTTTCTCTGCATTTTGAATCTTCTGCTCTACATATAAGATGGAAAATTCCAAAGCTGTCATGCTGAACACTTAAAAAATTATGCTGCCTGTTGTGCTAGTGATGCAACTGGATCTGAAGTTGCACAGACACACACAGTGCATGTGATACACCCTGAATGAGTTAGATTTCTTGGGCAAGTGAAGCACATGAACAGTTGGTCCACTGGTGAGGTTTGTTATACAGGTACAGTGCAGCTGAAAAGTGAATGCATGGTGGCACTCTGTCATCTGGTCAGCTAGGTGTGAAAAATCTGTCTAGGGATTATGGGGTGGTTCAGTAAACTTAGTAAATGAGAGTCACTCTATTGACCTTCTCTGTAAAGTATTTGTTCTTTTATGCCTAAAATGCTGACAGAACCTTTCAGGCCTCACTTTTCCCTCTTTGTATAATGGTGACCTATTTCTCAGTCTTATTGCAATGAAGAAATGCTTCATTAGCCAATGTTAATAGAGAGGGTTGTGTTCTCAGAGGAAAGGACTCCAGTATTCATGATACTACAACATTTTGAAAGACAGACTGTCATGAAATTCTACAGACCAAACTCAGTTTTAGGGTGATTGTCTTGATTCTTACGAAACCACTGCAAGTTATGAATTGTGCCATGGCTGGTCTGTAGCTTATCAACCTCATTAAGTGAATCTTTTTTGCACAACACACATTGTGTTTGCCAGTTAGAGTCACAAAATATTTTAAAGCTACAAAAGCAGCAACTGCTCTCCTGAGATCAAAACATACCTACATGTGAAATCAAATATACCTGCTGAGTAAACACACAAAGGCTGTAAAGGCAGTGTGTACACTGCTGAGCGGCTGTCCTTTACCAAATTATTTATGAATCCTTGCAGTACCTGGATATAAAGAGGTTTTTTTTTTGACCAAACTCAGTTACCAGATTAAGGTAACTGATTCACCTACTAAGCAGCTTTGATAACTCCCACTGTGAGTCACCACTGGATTGTTCCATGCTGCTTCCAACTCTTTCCCTGTTTGACTCTTTTATAAAATGTTATGGCTTTAATAATAGGAATATCTTTGAATTCTGTATGCCTTATACTGGCAAGAGTGGAAATAGGGGTTTTTTTTTCATTTTTATTATTGTTAATGCTAACTAGTGAGATTACTGTCTCATGTTGGGGCTGGTGTCTCACCCAGGCCCTGCAGAAGAGAAATAGGAAGAAAGTATGGAATTTGATGAGGAGCTTTACTTTGTGTACTTTGATGGGGACTGGTCTGGCTGATTATTGGGAACAGCACTGCTGGTGGGGGCTGATCTGGCTGATTATTGGGAACTGCACTGCTGATTACTTGCTCACATGCTCACTTTTTCTCAGCAGACACCACTGAATCATGTGCAATTTGTAATAGTAAATTAGAGGTGATAAATAGAAACCCTTTGCATCCAGTAATCTCAGAATTTAGGGAAATTAATGTAATGAAAGAGTGACTCAATGCCCTAAATCCTGACATCATATTTCTATTCCAGTTATTTGTTCAGTGGTTTATGTCTTTGGCCTGTGCCTAATTTTCCTGACTAGTAGTCTGCAAATTTGCTGATGAAAGGACAGAACCTTCACACAGTGCTACAAAAGTCCTTACTTTTTTATCAGATGCAACTACTGATATAGTTTCAGATATGATATAGATGACTTTAGTATCTAAATAAAATTAGTGAATAAATAACTGATGCTGTTTATTTTTTGGGATCTCTACATCGTTGTAGTCCAAAGAAGGATACAGACTGCTCAAGAAAGGCACTTCCCCTATGAGAGAGCATTAGGCTGTTCTTAGTTGAGGAATTCCTGCTGATTTTGGTACGTCAGCATCTGTTTCAATAACAGCCATCTTCTGCATAGAAGCATTGCTGTTTTGTAGGAACCTAAGGCATGCCAGACCCATAACTGTAGTTTAATGGGTATTGAAAACTGCTGGAAATCTGAAGGATTCAAATTCAGTCAGAGGAAAATGGTCTAATGATGGCAAATACCTCATCCTTCATTTGCTTCAAGTGTGTCAGCTGTAAAACCGAGAAGAAAAGACCACTCTGAAGAAATGTTTCTGTGTCTGAGAGTGGAAGCTATCTTGCATAAACCTTTTGTATAGAACTACTTACTGTTTGGGGATTTTCTTCACCATTGTTTTAAGCTTTTAGAAGCATTTCCGGGGTGCAGCAGGAAGATGACAAAATGTGGCATGTGAAATAGCGAAAGTAGTAGAAGAACGAATAAAAATAAAGGCTAGCTCATGCTGAAAAAGCTGGTGAAAACTTGAGTTTGGAGTGGAGAGGATAAAATATAAAAGAAATTCTATGCTGTGGCATGAGTTCTTGTGCTGATTTCTGTTTCTGCCCACATACTCTGTTCTGGCTCCACCAGCACTCTTTGCATGGGGAGATTGGTTATTTGTAAGCAAAATACCTCAAAATCATTGCAGGGGTATGCATTAGAATAGCATTAAGAGCTGGCTGGTGTTGCGTATGGTGTTTTTTTGTGTTTTTTTTTTTTTTTTTTTTTTTTTAATCAGAGCTCTTAGATTGAAAGATAGAAGCTCCATATGCCACCCAAGAAATTTCAAAACCCATATGTGAACCCACCTGGATTTCTGGCATGGAAAATATCTAGAAGAGGGCTCTTTTTTGCTGATGCCTTTGAAAAAGTTCTGGAATTCGTTGCTGGTGGAGCCTGTGAGAACTGGGAATTAATTAACTTCATCTGCTGCCCTTGTGCTAGACATCAGGTTTTCAGCCTTGTTTTGGACCTGTGCAGGCAAGGGGTGCAAATCAGGGTAATCCATGTTTTTTCCCCCATTTATTGCAACTGCAGATTTTGCCTTTAACTCAAAAAGGCTAAATGAGTATTAGTATGAACATATGAAAATTGAATCAGAAAAATGCCTCAAATGCTTCAAAACAAATGTTATTTTTTTGGGAATGGGACAAA